TGTCTCTCACAGTTGAAGTGTACCTCTGGTGCAAATTACTGATCTCTTTCATCATTTTAGGTGGGGGAACTTGCACAATCGGTGGCTGACTAAATACTTTTTTGCCCCACTGTAATTGAGGTTAGTTTTATTTTAATTTTAGTTTTATTTCTATAGTTCACAACACCAGTTTTCTCAGCAGTCTGAGAACGAAATGCTCTTTTGGGGTGATGCGGTACTATGAGGGCTATGATCAAACTTGACCATTTAGTTTTTTGAGATGACAGATTATATTTATATCATCAGAGTTTGTATTTAATTCTGCGTTTAGCAGGGAGCCGATAGAACTGATGTAATGTGCCAGAGCTATAGTCCGCCTCACTGTTGCGACTGAATCTCTTGAAGGCTTTTCACTCAGCTTTTAGAACAGTCCTACATCAACGTTCAACTATAAAATGAAACATTTCAAGAATTCTCCATTTAGACAAGGAAACATACCAGTCAAAAGTTTGGACACACATTCTCATTTAATGGTTTTTCTTTATTTTTACTTTACTTCTCCTTGCTACATTGAAAACACATACTGAAGACATCAAATACATGAAGCAAGATATATGGAGTTATGTAGCAAAGGTTCCTCAAAGTAGCCGCCCTTTGCTTTGTTGACAGTGCTGCAAACCCTCGGCCTTCTCTCAGTGAGCTTCATGATGTAGTCACCTGAAATGGTTTCACTTCACAGGTGTGCCGTGTCAGGGTTCATTGTTTGTTGAATTTCTAAGACCTTGAATCCGCAGTTGAAAAAAACCATCAAGCGTTATGATGAAACTGGCTCACATGAGGACTGTCCCATGAAAGGAAGGCCCAGAGTCACCTCTGCTGCTGAGGATTAAAATTCATCAGAGTCACCAGCCTCAGAAATCACAAGTTAACAACAGCTCAGATTAGAGCCCAGATAAATGCCAAACAGAGCTCCAGTAGCAGACTGGAATGTCTTTTTTTTGTTTACTACATAATTCCATATGTGTTCATTCATAATCTTGATGCCTTCAGTGAGAATATGCAGTGCGATATGTGAAATTTTTCCAACCGACAATCGTCAGTCCATTAACCGAGGATAGGCAACATATTCACGCAGATGACTTTTTGATGGACAGAGCAATTAATTTTTTATCTGTTGTTTGGTCGAGTGTGTAAGACAGATAAATACTGGAACGGCATGTAAACATGGTTCCCTCCCCATCATTGTGTGGGGTGTTTTAAGTTTGTTTTGTTTTTTTTATTTAAATAAAATATTTTTTTTCTTACCATAGGCTACTGCCTTTCTTTCTTTCTGTTATGAGTTTGAGTATTATTATTTATTTTTTCCGTTAACTTCTTCTCTTGGCTTCCACCAACATTATTAGCCAACTTACTCATGGGCAAATAAATAAACCGCTCTTGTAAAAACGATTGGTGAAGGGCTCAGCCTATTGTCATTGGTCGATATATTAGTGTAATCGCCCAACCTTAGTAAATAGTCATGAACATAAAGAAAAAACATTAGATGAGAAGGTGCGCTCACAAAGTGGGCTTTAATAAGCCAAACTAAATCAAATGTGACTTACTAAGTAGTCAGGTACAAGCGAACAGTTACATTATTCCACTAGTAACAGCACTTCTGCATATGTCTGCCGTTTGTTTTCTACAGTCAGGAAGGCAGAGGAAGAAAGCTGTTATGATGCCTCGCGTCGTCCTCACCCCTCTTAAGGTGAATGGAGAGCATGTCCCCTCAGGTAAGAGCCTCTCTTGAATTCTCTCACACAGAATCAAGAAAAACACCTATTGCAAAAGTTGGAATACAGACTGTTGGCCATCCTGATCCAAGAGATATCAATGTTATTGAAATTCACACTCATTGCCAACAGAATCATGTAAAATACACTGGAAAAAAATTCAAGGTTTGATTCACCAGCCATCATACACTGGATTGTACCAGTGTACCGGTCATAAATTTATGCATGAAGAGTCATATTTTTAAACTTGTTGATTTGTTGTTACACACCAGGGCCCTATTTCAGGAAGCCGGTTTAGAAAACTCAGAGTGAAAAACGATACTCAGGGTTGAGTAACCCCGAACTGTCCAACTCGGAATATTCGGTTTCAGAAAGGCTGATAACAAGTAGTTCAGTCAACGCGGAGTTGCTTTAACCCCAAGTGAAGCGCGCGGACGAGGATACATAAAGCCCTGATAAGCGGAGCACAGATTAAGCGAGTCACCATGGAGACGGAGGGAAAGAAGGCGCGGTCAATGTATTTTACAGCGCTTGAGGCCGAAATTCTGATGGCAGCATATGCCGATAACATGCAAATTTTGCAGAAAAAAAGTAACACAGCCTCAGCTGCAAAAGAAAGGGAGCATGCATGGCAAAACATAGCCGACAGAGTCAATGCGTGAGTGTTAATATAAACATTGATCTAGGGATTTCCACCCATTTAACACGTTATTTTTATATGTTATTTTATTTGTTATTTTATACATTTTATTTTGTGATGTGATGTGAGCGCAGGTGCAACCCAACAGGCCCCAAACGTTCCTGGCAGCAAGTAAAAATGAAATATAAAAATATAGTCCAAACAGGTAAGGTGTAATTGTATTATGAGCCATAGTGCTTGGTCTGTTTGTCCGATGTAAATCAATTGCAGTTAGAGGCTACATTAATTTTCTTTCTGTAAGCACTTACTCTGTATGCTCAAATGTGACCCGTTATAGCCAACAGAAAAAAAGCGGAGGCCCGAAAAACAGGTGGGGGTCCTCCACCACCACCACTCACAGAGGCTGAGCAGTTGGCCCTCAGCCAAAACAGTGGGCGCCCTGTGGCTGAAGGCATCTCTGCGGGGACATCCTCTGAGTCAATAACCCCGCAAGACACAAGTGCCTACATAGGGGGTAAATTCAAAATAATACATGATGTGCATACATCCTTTCTTCACAGTCACCTTTGCAGTGCTGCTCATTCATTTGATAAACTCTTTACCATAATGGATTATTTTGTAGTGAAGTCATTTTCCTACTGATTTTGCCTTCCCTCAGTCTTGGTTGTCTTTGAGAGCATAATGACAATGAAGTGTAAGGTGATTGGTATGTTTGTTAATTGCCATTTGGTCCCTTGTAAGTTATAAGTGACCTGTATAAACCTCATATTCTATCAGTTGATGGTGGTGGTGTACTGCATCTGGTGCAGCCTCCTGTTGAGCCAGACCAACATGCAGTTGTGAGTAATACTCCACAGATTATATGAGTTTACAGTAGAACAGCAATGTTGTTTATTTCTTTACTACAGGAAAATAATGAAGAAACATTGACAGCTGTTACAGAGGAGGAAGCAACAGAGACACTTTATGAGGTTTACATCTTTTAATACTTTGTGTACAGGAAACACAGGCGACCAATAAAGCCAGTTGAACATAAAATCTGTTTATTCTTCTTTCAACATGTTGAGGTGATGGGTCAAAAGAAATGATTGTGACATATGGTGTCTCTGACTGCGCTTCCATCTTGTATGTCCGTGGGAGGGTCAGGATGTTCATGGTTTGGATCACTGCTGATGTTTGGTTCAGAAGGACAGTGTTCTCCTCTAATTGTGGCAATGTTGTGAAGAATCACACATGCCACAATAATGTCACATGCCCTTTCTGGGGTGACCCTGAGTCTTTGCAGGCACTGGAACCGGGCCTTAAGCATTCCGATAGTCATTTCAATTCTGGCTCTTGTCCTGCAATTAGCCAGATTATATCGCTGCTGTGGGCCCGGTTCAGGGTCAGGGTAAGGGGTAAGCAAATAGGGTAAACATGGATACCCCCTATCACCAAGCAAGTAGCCAGTGAACTCTCCTAAGACAGAAGGATACACTTCAGTTCAAATGTCCCTGAAGCAATTGGTCTTTATATATTTTAAAGTATTCTCAACTCACCATGTCCAAATTTTGTGCTCAGTGTACATTCACGGAATATTTGTGAGTCATGAACAGAGCCTGGCCACTTGGCTTCCACATTTGTGATAATGTTGGCAGCATCATATATGATCTTCACAGTGCAGAGAACACAAATTAGCATCCATTACTATAATGAAATAATTGTTAGTTTGAAATGCTACAGGGAACTATGTACCTGTACATTAATGCTGTGGAAAGACTTCCTGTTCACATAGTCTCCTTCATTTACTGAAGGAGCAATGATTGGAATGTGAGTGCCATCTGTACAGCCAATCACGCCTGGGAACCCTGAAAATAAATGTAAAATTTAAGTAGTAGTCCAAGTATCACCACATCATAAATTAAGTTTTGTTCATCCTGCTACCTGCAATTTTGTGGCATCCCTCTTTGATAAATCTTGTGGGTCTATGACCGGGGAACACCACAAACGAGTACAGGAGACGTTTCAGTGCAACTGTAACATTCCTGACTGCCCGACAGACGGTAGCCTTGGAAACGTGCTCAGCGTCACCAATATTATACAGAAAGCTCCCGTTTGCAAAAAACCGAAGTGCAATACAAATAATATGTAATGAACTGAGAGCATGTCCGCGATGTCACATGCGTAATATATGGCCTGAGGATGTTAGTCAAATAACTTATAGATTGTGCTGAGAAACGGTAACGTTCACACAGAAACTCATCAGGAAATGATAAAATGTCCAAACGCGATCTGATCACTCTCTCCCGGCGGAGAGCTCTGCGGAGAATTTGGGCTTCACGATCTACTGGCTCTTCAAGGAAGGGCACGCCATGTCCGACACTTCCTACTGTCAGGTTTCCGACAAAGGGGCGGAGACAGTCAGGGTTAGTTGTAGTAAACCTGCTAGGGGGCAGGTTAGCTTCACGGAGTGTGTCGTCATAGTGACTCACTCAGGCTTCAGCTGAACTCGCTTTGTGAAACCGAAAACCCAGAGTTTTCGTTAACTCAGGGTATACTTACTCAGTTTTTCCACTAAACCGGCTTCCTGAAATAGGGCCCAGGGCTGGTACCTGGAAGTGTACTAAGAAAGGTGTTTATGAGCACTGCATGACTTTGTTGCTTTGCAGCTGAACTACAGCATCTGTCTACATCATCTTGAGTTAAAAGTTTTCTGGGGGGTTTGTCATGAATAGGTCCCATGAAGCGGAGTCGGGGAGGGGTGGATGTAGACTTTGAAACGCCAGGCTCCATCCTGGTCAACACCAACATCAGAGCTCTCATCAATACGCGGACATTCTTAGCTTTCCCGGTACACTCACAACAGCAGCTGCTGCAGCTGCTGCCTGAGGTGGACCGACAAGTAAGCGGTCTTTCTATTCTTTATTCCAGTTTATGTTTACTGTAATATTATATGTGCCAATATCTAGCACAGGGCAAATGAGAAACGAATTAAACTGATATTTTTAACACTTACTGCAGGGAGGAAGAAAAAAAGAGAGTTTTGAGCTTGTAGATTTTTGATGTACAGCAGTAATTTCAGTAGTGCGCAGCGGTGTGCCTGCTCTGCTACAGACTTTTTGTATTCTTGGAATAATGAAATTTTAAAATCAAAATCAAATCAAAATTTATTTATATAGCACATATTAAAACAACAGTGTTGACCATAGTGCTTCACAGTCAATAAAAACATGAGACAGTTAAAACAAACAATAGAAGAGGACAACAAACAATAGGTAACAACGCAACAAGCTAAAACAGCCAACTAGACAGAATCAAAAGCCAAAGTAAAAAAATAAGTTTTAAGACGTAATTTAAAAGACTGGATAGACTCGGCAGTGCGAATATGAACGGGGAGGTTATTCCAGAGTCTGGGTGCCACGGATGCAAAGGCCCGATCGCCTCTCGACTTCATTCGAGTCCTAGGTTGTGCTAGGAGCCTATGGTTGGATGATCTAAGTGCCCTGTTGGGATTGTATGAATGGAGTAATGAAATTTTAAATTCCTTCTACAGTTATTTTATATGTGTACTTAAACGTTTTTAGTGTTGTACTTAGGGCACCAAACACTCAACTATGTACTCATCACTTGACTTGTTGTCTCACGTCATTTTGTCTCTGGTTGTAGATTGGACCTGATGGCATGGCCAGACTGAGCAGTTCAGCTCTTAACAATGAATTTTTTACCCACGCCTCCCAGAGCTGGAAAGAGAGGCTGGGTGATGGTAAGTTTCTGGTCATTCATAGACAGATTGCCATGCTTTACTGACTTCATCACTGTTCTTCAATAGGGTTTGACATAATCAATGGCCCAATGCCCCAGAGCCAGTAAAACAAGATTGTTAGGCAAGTTGTTTGGCCATCTGCTGTTTGCTCCAGTGGCCGTGTTTCCACCTATTGCAATTCCACAACTTCCTGTCTAAAAGGAATCCTCACTCACACGTAGTTTCTTCTTCAATTTAGTATGAAATAAAAAGAGACTTCTTAGTGACTGTGAGAACAGGATAAAAGATCTTCAATGAATTTATTTCAATATAGTTTTCAGACTGTAAAAATGTATTTAGGAAATCATGCAAAACGTTTTTAACCCAAGCAGCATCTATTTATCTGAATGAAAAAGGTTTATAGCACTGAAGATGATTTTATCATAGTTGCAATTTGTGGTGCAGCATCTCTTCTGACACAGCAAGCTCAAAAACGACAGCACAAAGATCATGAACCTAGGTGGAGTGAAGGAAACATTTTTCTTTTTCAATGGTGTTTAGTAGAGCAGGGCGATATGACCAAAAATATTTATCACGATATACATTTGAAAATTTGCGATAACGATATAACTGACACTAGACAAAATACTTTACAACTCCACAACTTTATTAGTGGAAAAAAACCAAACAAACATCAATGTATTTTCACTTAAACAAGCAGCTGTTTTTATGTGCATTAAAGTTATATAAAAATTTACAGTGCAAAAAATTCCTTGCTGACAGTTTAACCAAAAGGCATTTC